ATGTCAAACCCACAGGCTCAGTGATGGATACGCCCAGTGAGATCTACAGTCGGTACTGTAGGAAGTGGTATTTACCAGCCCACTAATGAATGAATCAAGATCCCTGTTCTATTTATTTCTAAGCCTTCCAGCCCCCCATACCAGAGCCTTTAGCAAGGGGCAACGAAGATTAGTCATTCTTAACTTAGACTGTGCTCACAGGTTCCTGAATAGCCATGAAAGAACTGTGAGGAATGCTTGGCTTTCATGGTACCCAGACTGAGAAAGAGGGCTCCATGTGCCTGATGGTAGTTACCATACTTTGTTTTCACATCACCCCAACACCCCACCCATTGCCAACCCCTGCCTCATTCTGCCCTCTGAGTCGCACAGGACAAGTGACCTAGCTAACACAATTGCACCTAGGCCTTTTGGGCTCCAGGAACAGTGTGGTTGGCCTCTGTGAGCTACACAGGTGAACTGCGGAGGTGGAACTCTTCACACAACCAGTAAACCAGCCTTGGAGACTGACAGTCGTTACCTTCCTCCTCCCACCGTGGTGCGGGAGACAAAAAAGCAGTAAGATCCAGCTTCACTAGCCCCTAAAGTCAGAAGTATCAGTGTGATTTAAAAGCTGGGAAGGAACGCCAAACCTCCTTTTCCTTCCCATAAAAATTTTTTTTGGAAGCTCTTCAAAGTGAGACTGAAACACGGAACTATACACCATAGCACCTGGAAAGACGGATTTCTTGTTGCCAATCTCATTAAATGTGAGCGGTGGGAGTGGAAGCTGCCCCTGGAATTGCACAGCTTCTCCTGCATGCCTTTGCAAACTCTCCCAGAAGGGAGACCCCCACCCCAGGCGAGGGAACCGACGCCCCTCCCTGGAGCACAAACCCAAAGTGGCCTTCTCTTTCTGTCTTCCCCTCTCCAGCCTCTTCCTCCACTTCCCCTGGGTGGTCTCAAACGTTCACCACCCTAAGTCTGGATGCTGTGACAACAATCTGGCAGTTGTGTAAACTGATACAGAAAGCACAGCCAGCTCTCCTGTCACTTAGAAGGTCCTGACTCATAAAGGACAGGAAGTACAGGTCCAGGAGAGCAAGACCTGCAGGCCACTCCCTCCAGCCCAGGGATAAACCTTCCTCTTCTGCTTTCTTTTTCCTAGGCCAGGGGTCAGGAGCCTCTTCAACCTGCAAAGCCATCAGCCTCCGGGGCTGGAGGGAGGCAATGCTAAGCAATGACAGTGGTGCCCCTGCCAGCTTGGACAGAGGCAAGGACGAAGCCCAGAGCTTAGCAAACAGCAGCAGTAGAGAAGAGACAGGAGAGAACAGAATACCCCTAGTTCAGGAGGGAAAGCCAGGGCCTCCTCCACCCCAGCTGCATGGCCACGCCCACTGGAGTTACTGTGAAACCAATCCAGCTTTGGGTCATCTGACTGTTTCTTTTTCTATTAGTATCCGGGTATCAATATTGCCCACGGTATGAAGTTAACATCAGCGAACCCCACAGAGAATGCTTGGAACATCAGCAAAACAATTAATGGACATCAGCTATTTTATTAGTTACACACAACTGATTGTGGGGGTTGTGTGTGTGTGTGTGTGTGTATGTGTGTGTGTGTACAGCGTATGTGTGTGCTTGTGTGTGGGAGCATGTGCATCTGTGTGTGTGGAGGCCAGAGGTTGACATGTGATGTTTCCTCTATCATTCACCTTATTTTTGAGACAAGGTCTGTCACTGTACCTGGAGTTCACCAGTTTGGCCAGGCTGGCTGGCCAATAAGCTCCACAGATCTGCCTGATTCTACCCTCTCCCATTCCAAGTCATGGGGTTAAAGATACACATTACCCCACTGGCTTTTCCATGGATGTTGGAGACTGGAACTCAGGTCCCCATGTTTGTGTGGCCAGCTCTTTACCCACAGAGCCATCTCCCAGCTCCTAGGAGAAATTTTAAAATGCAAATCTACAAGAGGTGATCAGCTAACCATCAAGTGTGATGATAACACAGTCCTTTGTATTGATTGAATTTGGGGGCATCATGTAGACATAACTTCCATCTGTCTGTATCCTACTTCATCTCTGTTTAGACATTTGGAAAGAAGGTGCCCAGCTCTCTAGCTCATACTGAAACTACAGGCTTATTTCAGTTGATGCAAAGAGGAGAAACTTCAAGAGTGAAGGCTTATAAGCACTATCAGCTACTCGAGGTGCAGGGCTGCTTTTGGCTGGCAGCCATAGCCCACACTGTTAGAGCTACAGTGATAAGAACAGTGGCTTTCCAAGCATCTCACTTAAGCACTGACCGCCATGCTCAAAGGCTAGGAGAAGGGATCCCTTATCTGAAGCTTTTGTAAGTAAATGTGCCAAACGGACAGGCTGCATTAAAAACTATTTGGTGATAGTGGAACCACACACTTTGTGAATTTGTGTGTGTGCGCGTGCACGTGTGTGTCTGTGTGTGTGTATGTATGTGTAGATGTGTGTGCACACATGGAACAGACAAGGCAGAGCCTATGTTCCTGAGTCTGGTGTCCCACATTTCTGGAAAGAGACTTTTTTTTTAAGAGAAGGAAGAATTAGCCCCAGAATAGTCCAATAACTTGTCCAAAGTCACATGAGAAGTGATAGAATTCCTGCCCGGGCCCCACTTTCTTTGCAATGGAGCAGTCTTAAAATAGACTCTGTAGATAAAGGAGAGGTGGCCTGGCTGGAAGTGGATATGATTCCCAGAGAAATATCAGATGGTAATCATATTGAGGAGGATTTAGATGAAGCTAGGCGGCACAGCTTGCTGGGCACCACTTGACGCCAGTGTCACCTGTTTGTGTCACTCTGGTCCTCTGGCTCACAGGAGGGGATTAAACTCCAACCAGGTAAGGTTTAAACAACCTGAAAATCCCAGGGTTCATTTGAAGGACTGGTTTCCTCTCATAAGTGATATATTAGAACACATCTCACGAGTGTTGGGCAGCTCTTTTTATATGAAGCCTGATGCATCTGACTGGAGAATATTTATGTCATATACAGTGTAAAGAACTCACTAGCACACAGTAGTAGCTTTAGGAAAAGAAACAAAGCTCTTATATAAGATTTCTTTAAATTGTTTAGCCATAACCACACATCTTCAGCTTTGGAAGAAGCATCTGCTTATATTCTCTATAGTGAACCAGGTCTCTGTTAGAATAGAGCCTTTGAAAACATAGATTTTTTAAGATAGTTGGGGCTGGAAAGATGGCACAGTGGGTAAGGGTACTTGATGGCCTGATGTCGATCTCTGGGATCCACATGGTAAAAGGAGAGAACTGACTCCTGCAAGCTGCACTCTGACCTCCACACACACATCACGTCTCTCTCTCTCTCTCTCTCTCTCTCTCTCTCACACACACACACACACACACACACACACACACACAAAACAAATAATTAGATAAAAAATTGTTAACGAATATAATAGACCAATATTCCAAGAATCCCTACTTTTAATGTGTGTGTTCAGGTAAAGAGAAACTTCATTTACAATATGTCTGGCAAGAGATCTATTGGTCTTGGACAGCAAAGGCACACTGGTAGTTTGCAGGATAATCATAGAAACTGTCAAGGGAAAACTTTGACCTCTCCCTAGAGAAGTTTGTACACTCTGCTCTTTATGAGCCCATAACTGCCTGGTCCGGAAGAGTGGGAAGCAGCATTGGGAAGGAATGGGTAAGCAGTGAGAGGCTACGGGGTCAGATCCCTTCACTAAAGCTGAGCCATGAGGAGTGTCTCCTTCCCTTGAAATAAGAAGTTACCGTACCCCTGGGTATTTACCTATAGGAGGAAAATAAGAATACTGACATAACCTTTGAGAACAGGTTAAAGACCCTGACCCCACAGTGACATCATACCTAGTCAAGAAGAAGCAGAGTCAAAATATCAACTTTGTCAAGGCACAGCCTGACTGCAGTCTTCCTGGGGGTTCTGCCCACAGAACTTTCACCACATCCCCACCTGCAACTACTGTTGCCTGGGCCACGGGGCTCAGCAGATGCCTTTGGGAGTGCAGGGAGCTTAGCTCATGTTGCCGCATGGAGTCATTACATGGCACTGAAAACTGTTTGCGAGACAGCACATCAGCCTACAAAGAAACACCTGACACGCAGCTATGCCTCTTTCATTGCTGTATAAATATGGCTTCCTGGGGATGGTGTATATGACTTTGGGGCTCTTTAATGTACATGTTGTATCTATCTAAGGGCACACAGCAGTGAACATACAGCAACTCACTTGTGGAGGTGCACATACAGAAACACAAACACAAATAAAAACAAACGCAGGGTGGTAAGATGGCTCGTGGGTGAAGACCCTTGTCACCAAGCCCGAAGACCTCAGTTTTGATCACTGGCACCCACACTGTGGAGAGAACTGACTCCCACAAGTTGTCCTCTGAGATGGACACCTGCTTTTGTGGCGTGAGCACACCCACACACATACAAAATAAATAAACAAAAATGCAATTTAAAAAAATTTTTTAAAAGTGAGCTCTTTTGATAGATACTTTGTAAACTCTCATACCATTTTCTCCTTAAAGGAAGCACCCGTCAGTGGAAAGTGAAGATCACGGAATCACCCCACAACATTTCTAGACTTTTTAGAAACAACTTGTGCAACCACATTGTGCATATTCTGCATGTAGCAGCTCAACAGCGTTGCGGAAGGCGAACAGAAAAGACCTACTGGAGCAGGACCTCTCCCCGCCCCGAGGAGAAATCACAGTTTCTCCTGTGGTACTTCACCTCAGACTCTTCGGCTCCCTTTTCTGTGGCCAAGTGGGTCTTCCAAACCGAGGCGATGGATGGGAGCGGAGGTGGCCGAGGGTCAGTTGTGATTGTGATGGACACTCACGGCTGCTCTGCCTTTTACACTGCTGGGATACGCTTAGGGGAGAAACCGCCACAGAACCAGATCTGGGGATATTCCTAAAGACCATAAGTTTTTAAAAAAGTGGGAGATAACCCCAAACTCCAGATTCGTTCCTACCTCAAAGTCATTGGCTTTGTTGTAGTGCATGTTGAGAGCTCTGTACAACTCGCAGTCTCTGGTGATGGACAGCTCTTCTGTGCTGGTGACCCCATCGTTGATGGCTTGACGAGCGTACTTCTCCATCTGAATGTAGTAAAACTCACGGAAATTGCTGAACCACTTGATGAGTTGGGAGGTAATGCATCTGTTGAACTGTTAAATTTAAATGTTAAAAGAGATATAAGCTGCTTTTTCTTAAGTATCTGAAGCATTTCCAAACCTCCCCTTCCTGTTTTACCTGCAAGGGTGGGCACTGAGTTCTACAAAATGGCAGCCAGAGGACTCGCATTCTCTGAGTATTAGAAAGCACACTGACGACGGAAATCGCCATCACCGCTCTGCACTTCAAGCAGAAAACTCACATTCTCAATCAGATTTTCCTTAAACTGAGAGTCTTTTATTTAAAGAAAAAGAAATCACAGGTTTTAGAAGAACAGGTGGGATCTGTACAGTCCTCACAGAAACTCACTGAAGCCAGAGTCCTAGGAACAGTTGTTAACATTCAAGCTCCAAAGGTGACCAACCACGTGACCATGACATCACCACTGCCAGGATATACAGAATATACAGAGAGTGTGTGTGTGTGTGTGTGTGTGTCCCCAGAGCCTCATGCATGTTAGGAATATACTCTGAGCTATATGCCAAGCCTTATGAATATATTGTAAATATTTTATTTGTATTATTTTTACTTTATGTATATGTGTGTGTTGCCTGAATGTATGTAAGTATACCTGTGTTGTGCAATGCCTGCGGAGGACAGAAGAAAATATTGGATCCCCTGGAACTGGAGTTACAGACAGTTGTTAGCTGACATGTGGGTGCTGGGATTCAAACCCAGGTCTTCTGCAAGAACAGCCAGTGTTCCTAACTGCTGAGCCATCTCTCCAGCCCCCTTATGAATATATTTTAAAATAAGGACTCTATCACTACATGACAGCCTTGTTCCACAAGGGAAGCTGGAACTGCAACTAACATAACGGGAAGCCAGTTTCCCTCACTGAACAAGGCTAGGAATTTTGCCTGTTGTTCGGTGCTGGGTGATGGATGCCCATCTCTCTATGATCCATCATTCATTTGAAGTCTGTCCACAGTACTAATTTCCAGGGTGGTCTTGGGAGACCCTGGTACCTGTTCGTGTGTGTTCTCACTGGAGAGGACTCACCCTTCCCTTGGTGGCTCTACCACGTGGGAGGTGTGATTAAGACAGTTCACAGATGGCAGAGAAAAGACCTTTATTACGCTCACTTTTTTTTTTAAATGCCAACTTGCTATATACATGATTGGGCTTTAAAACTCTGTTTACCCAGGTTTCCTGACGACCTTTGAAATGAAGATGTCTGCCTGGATGCAAGGCAAATGAGCCTCATCCTTATCCACAGTGCTCTCCTCGTGGGAGACAGGTGTGTCTTAACTTACCAAGTCAAAACCAATAAATCCATCCTTTCTAGCAGGCAGGCTGACAGACTCCCCTGCCTTTTGTCATCTCGGCCATTCCATTCTGTGAGCCCCCCCCCCAAAAAAAAGATGTGCATCCATCAGAAATCAACAAAGAACCCTTATCAAATCCCAGCCCTGAGAATATCCAGGCTCCAACAAGATGACAGCTAAAGTGTGTATGGGGTCTGTAATTACTACACAGAAAGTTGTTCTATATTAGCAAAGATAACAAACGAATGAAAATTTATGGTACAGAATGGAATTTGCAAGGAGACAGAAGCAGGAGACCGGTGCGTCTCCCAAAAGGCCAACTTGCATCATAATTGCCATGGAGTTGCAAGGGCCCTTGCAGATAATTGACCAGAAAATGATTAAGTCATCAGCAAATCGCTTCTGCTTGCAAGAGTTCAAACATGTACTTAACCTGTCCAAGAATTATATTTTCACTCTGTGCGTCTGCTGTGTCTCCATTCAGCCTCGCGGGGAACCCGATTAAAAAGACAACTGAAGGACCCCGGTTATCTGATCTTCTGGTGGCCGATTTCAATAGAACTTAAACCCATTACGATTTGCTGAACTTGAAGTTCTTTCCATTTTATCTCAACAGTAAAATACACTGTCCAAATTTCCAGACGCTGAGATAAGTACGACAGGCCCCGTGACGGCTTACTGTTCCTTTTTAATTCTTTTAGGATAAGAGACAAAACATTACAAAATGATAGCAGGCTGTGCACTGGGGAATGAAAATTGCTTTGACATGGAGATTAAGCTTCTGTATTGTTACAAGACATTGTCTGGTATGGACAAGAGTACTGTAGGGGAGGAAAACAGAAGGGTATATTTTTTTTTCTAGAATGGTCATGAATGACCTAATGGGGGAGGACAAAAAAGTAAGTGCACTTGCCATTATTTACGAATGGGACATAAAGGGAGATTTAAAGCTTATTGTTGGGGAATGGAAATACCAGAGAGAGAATGGGCAAAAACAACAGACTCCAAACATGAGACAGGCGAAATGAGCAGCGACACAGAGCCGGGAGCAGAGTTCTCCCTGCCACCGGAAGGCAACTGCAGTTCGCTCCATCTTTTCCTTCCTGGCTGAGAGCAAAGAGAAAGTTGCCTGTTCTCTAGATCTCCACGTGGAGGGAGGAAAACTTTAAAGAGTTAATTTCCTGCGGTCTGTGTAGTGGCTTACAAGCAAAGGATCAATTGTTCTATAAAGGCAAGCTCTGTAGTGTGTTAATGTGTTACTGCAAAAACTAATGGCTACAATAGAGACACTGTGTTTCCAGAGTGTACGAGTCTCTGTGACTTTGATTAATGCTTCCCACGGGACATCTCAGCCTCAATATGGGCTGGAGAAACTTCCTAAATATTCAATGAGCATGGTCAAAAGATGTATAAAACAAATCAACCTGACACCTTAATCCGGCTAGGCAGCAGTTGACTGAAGGGGCGGAAGGGACGAGATGCATCATCTAACACTGCCGGCGTGAAAGGCTGTGAACGTCTGTTTCCCAAAGCCAGAATGACACTGAATCTGTTGTACTTAGTGGTCTAGGAGTTATTGGTGTGTACATTAAAATCACCCAGTAGCGAACAGGAAGGCAGGGCGGTCCCTCCATCCTGGGCCATCTCACGTTTATGCACTTGATCTTCTGAAAGGACTCAAAACTCTGATGAGCTGAGCTGCTTGTCTAAATGTCTTGGGGAAGGAGTTAAGCTGGGCTCTCAGTGAGATGAGAACACAGAACTTTGTTTGGATTCTTACTAGAGCAGTTAACTACGAGTGACCCAGGGTTCATTCGTTGGGCACCAATGTCTCCAAGTGCCTGTGATGTCCAAACTCTCTCTCTCCTGGGTGACTGAAAAGCATATATCTCCCTCCCCAGTGGAAATTATTTGGGGAGAGTGAACACTGGGTCCAGGCCTGGGGAGAGACACATGGCTGGATTCTAATTTTCAGGAGCTCCTTGGAGGGCAAACTCCATCAGCTCAAATCTACCACGGTGGCCATGATTACCATCTAAACAACACCTTGCTCAAGAAATGAAATATTTTCAGCTTACATTGTTTCTCCTGGCTGTTTTTAGATATAAAACTAACTTCTATTTGATGTGCAATGACTCCGAAATTTGGACAAGCACCTTTTTCTAGAGAAGACTTTTCTTGATTGATGTTGCCACAACCAAGTGTTATCACGTTATCAGTGGCAAGTGCTGGTTGGCCTACAGATACATGAGATGTCTTTTTCAAAATACATGATAACAGAGTTTCATTTCTGATGAAATTCTAGGCTCTCTTTCCTAATTCTCAATCTCTAGGGCTTTCTCAATTCTGCACTGGGTTCCTGAATCCTCACTACAGTAAAACTGTGCGCTGTGTGTCCACATGTAGAGCAGCAGCCAGTACATTCAGCTTTGCAGAGAAATAGGTAATACTTATGTGTGGATATGGACACAGTAGCATAATATTCACACACTTATATGTGTGCACAGCACCAGCATTCCGCTTTGGAATCATACTAACTTTAAGGACATCTTAGATTGCTCTTCCATTGTGTTCTGGAAGTCTCTGGGCCACTTTGCTTAGCCTTCCTTCTGTGAATAACTTTCTAGGCTCATCCACAGAAGCTTAAGGAATACAAATTCATTTATTACTAGCCAAATTAAAGACATAATTAGGAAATTTTAAAATGTATAATTCATTCCAAAAATAAAAGAGGTATGACCTTCAATGGCTTTCTGCTGTGTGTTACACTTACAACTGTTTCCTCTCCATTAGAGTGGATAATTGGTATTTAACTAGACTCACATAGATTTTAACCACCTTCGCGCCTAGTGCAGTTAAGGTATGGATAGGATCTGTAATTGAATATCAGTACTTTAAGAAACAAAATATTTACCCAGGTATTTTGTCACTCAGGCAGAGTAAGTAGCTGTTTGTAAAGCTGGTTTACTAGGTGTGTTCTGAAGGATTTGGAAGTTACTTGTGGGCTTCTGTCACTCAGATCAGGCATATCCTCTGTCTTCCCCACTTCCCCACTACTAACCCAGACACACAGAACATGAACGTTTCTAAAATTTACATCTACTGTTGGGTAGTGCTGCCTGGTTCAGAGTGTCTTGAGTTGTCCACTATTTTGGTAGAGAGTGAACAATTCCTATGTTTGTTTATAAGGTTCTTTGGTCTACCTCTGGATGCAAGGTGATATATAGACAAAACAAGGTACTGCCATAAAGAATACAACACCACAGATCATTGCACAGGCAGTAATAGGGAGACACGTGGCATGTACATGTGGTACCCAGAATTATAACACTCCTCCATGTCCCCCTCTTAGAACCAAAGGGCTGGGAGGAAACTTGGCCAGGTTCTAGCAGGTCCTCAGGCATGTCCAACTGACAATGGATGACAGCTATGAACGGGCTCAACACAAAACCATCAACTTACTTAAAACATTAGGAGATTTATTTTGCAATTTTTTAACTCCACTGCTCAGTTCTCGAGTGTGAACCTTGTGGATGGCAATGTCGTGTTTCAATGTCAAAAGGTCAGACATGCACGAAAGTGAGACTGGAACTGACCAGTCCTCAACCACTTGACAAGTTCCCATCAATAGATCTATTGGAGATAGTCCCCCACCAAACCCAAGCCCTTTCCTGCCATCTGTGGCACCCACCTATTGTGTGCCTGGGGGTTCTCAGCCAGCCCTTAGGTTACTCACTGCCTGCCTTTCCTGCCCAGTCCGTTGGCACTGAATGAGGAGAAAAATATGCCCTCTACGTAAGGAGCACAGCAGGGAAGGGGAAGAGAAAAGGCTGGGGTTGACACACACTGCAAAAACAAATAGGAGGGAAACAGCTACTGGTAAGGCCAAATAAAACATCAGTGGCGGGAATTGACAGGAGCTGGCCTGCAGGACATGGCCAAGGACTGAACTTGGGCACGGGGTGCAAGCAAGCTACATGCTGGGGGCTGTGGAGGCACAGGCATGTCTTGGCAGCTTGTGGGATCTTGGCGGCAGAAATCAGACTTGAACGCACAAGGGTGGGCAGGAGGAGGGGGGGTAGCCACCTGACCCTCATAAACCAATCTCAGCTAGTGTGATGTCTATGAAGTTCCTTAGACATTGATTCCTTGAGTGTCATTATTGACAACAAAACCCAATAACCCAATCTATTTTTTTTAAGTTACAGATGATTAACTCAGCACCAAGTTGATGCAAATAATTACTTAGGTCCCCCACACAACACAATGCAGACACACCCACAGGCACACACATGTACAAATACACACCCACACACATGTGCATGCACCCACACACACATACAAATACACACACACACACACACACACACACACACAGAGACACACATGCAGAACCAGGAGGTCCCAATATCCTGTAAAACGAGGGGCGGCTAGAGGCTGCAGCTGTAGGCCGACAGCTTTCATCTCCTCATTTGAATAATGTGTCCTGAATCTGTCACTCTATTCACACGCCTTATGCTCAGTGTACTCTACATCAACAACAAATTAAGTTGTAAATAAGAGACAATCATCACTTTTGTTTTTAAGATGCTACTGGGTAGAGAATTTCAATGTACACGCCTTTTCCACAGGGGAGAAAAGAGGTGCTGGAGTGAGCCTTCACAGGCACAAACATGGGGACGCCGACAGAAACGAAAACAGAAACAGTTCGCTGTTGCCGAGGGGAAGGGATTTTTTTTTTCCTTCTTCTAAAGCACATCCATCTATAAAGCTCCACTGAAGTTACCGGTGGAGAGATTTCTTCCAAGAAGCTACTAAGGTATGTAAAGACAGAGGCAGAGTTTTCCAGACTACACTGGTAAACTGTGTGACTTAGAAAACATCCTTTAGTCTTAATAGGTAAGTGGTAGCATTTGCTTCACGCCTTTGGCCAAAAGGACATGTACATCAGATCAATTATAAGACAGAACACTCATAAAGCAACTGGTTCCCCATTCATGTCCATTAACTTCTGAGAGCTCAGATCACTGCCACATCCACGGACAATGAAAGACCGGTAATGGAAAACACCCCTACCTTCACGTCGGAGAAGTAGGTCTTCAGCATGTTGGAGCTGGGGTAACGGGTATAAAAGAACATGAGCTTTGCTTTTTTCAAGTGATTGGGTGATAGTCCTTCCTGCATGTAGGATGCAATTGGTTAAGGCAAAAATGTCCAATAACAGCAAGGGCCTATCCCACCTGACCCCATCTCCACACACTCAGAATGTCTGGAGCTCACACAAGCAGCCCTGGAAAGGCAGGGAGGTCTTTGCTACTGGCTGCAGAGTCCATTGCTAGCCTGCCACTCTGCTCAGAGAGCTCACTGCCCCTCTGGAATTGCCCCAGGTAAAGCTTAGGATTGCTCAATTGAGTTTCCGATTCTTGGCCTGCTATATGCTGCACATAGGTTCACTTGTTGCTAAAGAGACAAATCAGCCTAACACTCGCTGCTCAAGTCTTATCCTAGGAGTTCCTCCCTTCTTTGAATGCCAGCTGTTTTCTCTTTACACACTGCAGCTTGCATCGAATTATCACACTGATACAGGTGAAGCCATGCAGTGCCTTGTTGCGAACAGTTACACAAGCTTCATATTTTACCATGCAGTGCTACTTCAAGACTCAAATTCCGATCTTGCTATGATTGCCTTTGAATTGTTTCCTTTAAAATAACAGCTTGAACTTGGGAGGGGTAGTTCTGGCACAGAGAGAGCAAGGAGTGGGGTGTCGCTTTTGTTAAAGCAACAGTCCAACACCAAATACAATTTGCCTGTCTTGGATTTATAGTTAACTCCTTTGAGAAAGACACAGTAGTTGGGGGCTAACAAATCAATACATGTGGGTTAGCAGATCAATAAGTGGCCACTTACCCCAAATAAGAAGGCCTATTTATCTGGAAACATCATCACCTTTTAGATCTGTAAACAGCAGGAACTAAAACAGTTCCCAGGAGAGTATGAGGCTAACCATAACAATCCAGGCTTCCTAATTCTCTCCCAGATTCTTGGCACTACTCAGCAGACTCTGAGCTGGGATGGCTCTGGTCACATCTGTGCCGCAGCCTGGCCCTGCCATTTCCTCAGCAAATTAATGGCTTTATAATTTATCAGAGATGAAGATGCACGTGGAGAAAATCAATGTGGTCCCCCACAAGGTCAATTAAGGGTCCTTCCCAGAAGCTTCTCTGAGGATTTTCTCTTAAAGGAGAGTCTGGGAAAAATATGGGGGGGGGGTGCACGTGCGTGCATGTGCGTGTGGTGTGTGGTATGTATGTATATCCCACACACCCTTAGCTACCCAGCAAACATTTAACAGCTTAGGAAGAAAGGTCAAACAAACACAGACATTTGGGAAAATGAAAAGGTTCCCCATGTCCTCCTTCATCAAGAATGGAATGACAAACTCTAAGAACAGCAGGGAACCAGAAAAGGACCTGATGATGCATAATCAAACTAATATTGATAAGACTACTGATAACTGAGTGCTTGACCAAATTTATTCTTCTGTGAATGTATTCAAGGAACACATCCTTTATATCCTATGCCATTAAAGAAAAATAAAAAGATCACCTTGGTTTGCAAGTAGAAAAGTATGGTGGTTGTGTGTGTGTGTGTGTGTGTGTGTGTGTTTGTGTGCACACACGTGTGTTTAACTGAAAATAAACACTGAAGAAAGAAATTTTATTTTCCAGTCTGCGAGCCAAAGCAGCTTCACTGAACTCGTGTTTCTGTTTAAGGTCCTTAATGATTACAAAGACGATAATTTATGACTGACATACTTGTTGTGCCAAGGAAAGAGCGGAAAGGCCCTATAGTAACCTCCATTAGACTGATGGAGACGACTGAAGAGGCCCGGCACACTTCAGGACCATCTGTCCAAACGAGTAAGTGAAATAATGGTTGCAAGCTGTCTCCTAGCCTCGTGGTAAGAGTTTGAGGCAAGCCCAAACTTGGGTGAATATTCTCTGATCTAGGTTCTAATCTTTTCTTTCAGACAGTCTCTTCTGTGTCATTCATTCTAAGTCCCCAAATCTTGCAAGATTTGGTCCCATACAAAAGACAAACCGTTTCACTCTGTGTGTCAGATAGGCACAGAGTTACCAAACATCCTGAAGCCTCCCATGCATCTAAAGGTTGCTAAGATGTTTCAGCTCTTTTTAGATATATAAAAAAATCCATTCTCTTTTGATCAGAATTTAGAGGCTTTTTATTTAATAAAAAACCATTATTCTGAGTTGGATTTCTCAAGTTCGTTTTTGCTTCAAGATGCTTCCTGTTCATACTACCTGGAATTGATCAGCTGAAAGGGAACAGAATGAAGCTCTCTCTGCCTCTCTCACTCCTCATTAAGATAAAAATCTCATAAAATATATACTTCTAATAAACTATTAAAATAGCTAATGAAACATTTAAAAGCCAACAGTTAGATATCTTTTTTTCTCCTCAAAAATCAATCTGAACTGACCAATTGGTTAATTTTCCTTTTAAGTGCTTGTGCTGAAAAGCAACTGTTCTTCCAAGAAAGCACTGGCTGTTTCCTGGATACTTACACACGTACAATGAGTCATGATGGAATAGATTCAGTAAACATACAGCTGTACTGAACACGAGCTAAGCTCCATTCAAGGCCAGGAAAGAAAATGAGCACAAATAAATATTGAGGAGGTGAGGGGTGGGGGAGGGGATGGAACGCAAACAAGATCTGTCCCGGCAGCTCACGCGCTGCTTGCCTGGATTCTCTTAGCCCTAGCTTTGTGAAGACAGATGACATTCAATTCTATGTGTAATGCAAAATAGACAATAACTGTTGAAACTTGAGACAGCTGCCAGGTGTAAAAAAAAAAAAGAAAAAGAAAGAAAAGAAAAAGAAAAAAAAAAGAAAGATGATAAATCCATAAATTAATGAAAGACATCTGCTCAGGCATAGAAAAGATCAGAGAAGGGCACAGCTGAACCAAACAGCCTGAGACTCAGTGCTGTCTGTTTACCAAGCACAATATAACCTTACCTAAACAGCAGTCAGTGCAAAAGGCAAATTCAAGAATAGGCCCCATACGGAAAAGAAAATTCCCTTTTCCCCCCCAACTGAACTCTGAATTGTGGCTAGATGTTTTACGATGCAGTTCTGCACGCGTGGAAAAGGACTGTTAAATGGTCTACGCACTTTGAAACGGAAAGAATTTTCCTCCTCTGATTTACTCTAAGAGGCTTTCCCTAGAAAAATTCAATGGAAAAAAAGCTAAGCTCTCATTTAGTGACAGACACAGAGCAGGCTGTCACGGCACCAGGAGTCTGACGTAATCAGAGCGATGTGTAGATTTTTTAAATTAAGTATAATTTTTTTTCTGGAGGTGGTTAGTAGCCCATAGTCACTTTGCATTTAATCCTCGTGTTTCACTCTAAGGGGATTTCTGAGGCCCTCCAAGACTTCTAAAACTGTCAAAGATCAACTTCCATGGGTAGTTTTCCATTTTAGAAATACATTTTTAGAGCTGGGTGGTGCACTTCGGAGACTGAGGCAGGAGGACTGCTGTGAGTTCTAGGCAAGTCTTGGCTAGACTTGGTCTTAACAAATGAAAAGGAAAAAACCCAACATTTTAAATCCATACTTTAAGGTTGGACTTTAATTGCATGCCAGGAAACAGTTTTGCTTTCTAAACATCAAATACTTTTTGACTTTATTTCCAAATGTCAAGCCAGGGAAGAGACTGGTGAGCGAATGGGCTGAGGCTCCCAGCTGCACATCTTAATGGCTCCTCCACCACCTCGTGCTTGGGCTGGTGTATGCAAAAGTGAAAGTGTACACAAGGCTACTTTTCTTGAGATGCAAAGAGGACCAACAAGGAACATCACGGAGAAAGGCAATTGGCCAGCTGATTCTTTGGGAATTTGAATAAAACTTACTATTTGATTAAATGGATTCATTTGCAAAGATACTGAACACATTTTTTATGCCAAGACATGAGCTCTTTGACCAGGTGTGTTGAAGTTCCATTAAACATGCACTTGCTCATGACTTCCTTCCTGCCAGAAGGATCACAAAGCTGTATGTCTAACATTTAGACTATATATATCTAACGCGTCCAAGGGAGAGTGGAAACACTTGGTAAGTGTGCATCCTTCATCACTCTTCTCTTGGCTACTTTTTGAGGAACAGGGATGCCCTTTGCTGTAAGAAAGAAGTGCTCTCTAAGGGAATTATGCGGTTCTCAAGTGATAGCTCGTTTCAAAGCAAAGTTCAGCAATCTCTACGTCCAGGACCTGGGCCTCAATCCTTAGCGTGGTGACAGGAATTAAAACCAATAAATAAATAAATAAAAATCATTTATGATAATTCAGAGAACCGTGCATGTGAAAACTCAGTAATGGAGTCACACTGCACCACCTCGTCTTCCACTGATTTTTTTTTTTTTTTCCTGTAGGTCTTTGTACTCCTAAAACCACAGTAAGACATCATTTGTGATTCCCCAGGATCTTATTGAGCAAAGTTTGGGAGGAGACTAATAAAACAGCTGTCATTACTATAATAATGATTCTTTTGCTTTATATGGTTTTTTTTTTTTTTTTTTTTCTTTTTCTTTTTTCTGAAACATAATTTTGTAGACCAGTAGAATTCTGTGCACTGTCAAGTTAGTCAAGGGAAGGATTGACTGGCTGCCACTCAGGCAGAGGACAGGTGCAATGTGGGTTCAGAGCTGCAGGGAACAGATTTTCTGTTGCTTCACAACCATGGGAAGGTGGCGTGCCTGTCTTTTTCCCAAGACATAATCTATTAATGGCTGAATGGTGACGAGGACAAAGGAGTAGAGAAGAGAGAGTGACCCAGAGGTTAGAAGGCCAGAAAGTAGAATATGAAATCACTAATTGCAACAAGAGGCTCAGGCCATTGGGTTATATGAAGGAAACAACCCCAGATGTAAACAACACATATTTCAGGCCAACCTGGGTGTCTCCTGCGGCCCCTATGGAGAAGCTCATGGAAGCCGGAGACAGGAAAATCCTCCTCTGTAGAAGAGGCAGCTAGATTTTCTTTCTAGGCCCGGATATGTATAGAAATACTAGGGGGCTCTTTCCATTCAAGGCCTCAAAATTCCTCAGGGGATTTGGAGGAAAAGCGTGGTACAATGGATGTGGCAGACACTTAAGGCAAATTCAAAGATTTTGTTTTTCCCTAGAAGACCAAGCTAACTCACAAAAAAGGACGTAGTTACAATTGTGTCCAAACTTGACAAACTTGAAAAAGTTGACGTTATCAGCAAGAGTTTTCCACGTACTTACAGGATTTTGAGACCTAGATTATTAGTCATCAAAAATGAGCCTGTATGTTACTGTGTGTATGTGAGTGCATGTGTGTTTGCATGTGTATGAGTGCATGTATGTGTTTGCAAGTGTGTGTATGTGTATCTGTTTGTATACGTGTGTGGAGAGAGAAGAGAGACTAGTGCTTTACCGGGTGTTCTAAAATAAAGTTCAGGGATCTCTCAGACGAGCCTAACCTTAGACATTAGTTAGCCTGGCATGCAATTCAAAGCATGCTCTTCTTGGGAAGGGTGAAAACCCATCTAAGCCATCCTGTCTTGTGCCTTTGAGTTCCTCCTTGCCAGCCGCTCCATTAGAATCGGTTTGACCGAAATGCCTTACCTGCTGGTAGTAAATAATAAAAACTGTGGCCTTGGTGGGTGGGGCTTAGCTTCTGGTGCACGAATTTTAGACGTTTGAAAGCTTTAAGTCCAATCAGGAACTGGCCAAGACACAGATCTAAGGCCTCGATGTCTTTCTCTTCTCCTAAGACGCTCATGTCTTCATCAGGGTGGAAAGAGATGCTAGGCTTAGTGGACAAGAGGTCTCACCCGCGTTTCCAGCTCACCTTACCAGTGGTTTCCCTTTTAGCTCGGAATGTCTCTGGAGGAGTGAGAAAGCATATTTCTACCACAGTGCGGACTTGGTACCTCCATGCAGCCCCTGGAGTAGGCCGAGCTCCTGAAATGTCACTCACTAGTCATCAAGACTATTGCTCAAAACCTCCAATTTAGTAACAGCCAACTTAACTGCTAAATTTTTATAGCCATCTGGTAATTCATTATAGAAGAAACATGCCTCCCCCTCTCCCCCAAATGCTCTTATTCTATTTGCCCCCAAAAGACAAACAACCACAAGATTTTAAAAAACAATTACTGAGAGGACTGATTTATAGAAGGGAAAAAAAAAAGTCATGGGTTAAAAACAGCTGGGGTGCAGAACAGATCGGCTGAAAAGCACGATTGCCATGTCTACCTAAAAGTCAGGTTCAGGAGGGAAAGAAGTCATAAAAGGACCCATTTTTAAGTTGAATAGAGGCGAATTTTATATTGAACTGTGCTCTCCTGCTTTCCAAAATAATTTGCTTTGTGTACGTTAGGACAAAAGCTTTCTGCGTATGGCTGAGCAGGGCTTACTCATGCGCATAGGCAGCTGCACCAGACCCAAGGAACAGACCTTGGTGATCGTGAGAGATGGATGCTGTTGGAATAAATCAGTACCTGAGAATTTCCTTCAAAACTAAATTTCACGTGAAGATCAAAGACAGTCTGTAACTCCTCACCCACACTCATGGCTGTCCCCCTGCCTCAGCAGCTTCCCTCCATGGAAGGGCACTTCATAATAACAAGTTCGGCCTCTGACAGCTTACAAGGATCTCCGCAGGCAGTCTGAAGTGAGAATTTCTCTTAATAGAACTCTTGGATTTGGAAGCTGATGTTTCTCTGCTTTCTTCTATCATAAAACCTACCATCTTTATAAAATGCCTGTGAGAATTCCTATTTACAAGGTGTCGTTTCCCCCACCTCTGAATGTACTCTTGAGAAATGAAACAGGAGAGACAGGAAGGTCAGCAGGCGAAGCAGGCCGCTGGGAAGGTGCCCCAGAGACAGGTCCTAGAGGCAAAGAGGGGCCTAAAGCTGCAAAGACCTTGGAGTTAGTATTCAGCTTCTCTGAAATCAGAAAAGACCAGCACATGCCTGCTGCAAGCCTATTGTGTTTAATAATAGGAAAGATGGCATTCCTAGGGAGGTCCTGGATGGGCACTGTGGTGCATGCCTGTCCTCTGAGCATCCAGGAGTTCGAAGCCAGCCTGGGCTAATGAGTGAGACCCTGTCTTCAAATCTAGAACCCAAACAAAACCAAACCCACCAAAACCCAGAGCAAATCGAAATGAAACCGAAATGATACTAAGTCCATCAGCCCGTATAGTGTGTCATCCTAACCTTGTGGGAAACCTTGTCTTGTGTCTGTTTGTCCATGAAGGGGATAATAAAAAGGATATTGCACTTCCCGAATACGGTGAGATTTCAGACATGTCTTGAAGATCTCCACACTCAGACTTTATGAGCGACAAGGAGAGCCCTTCAGCGGTGCTGGGAGGGTGTGCTGGTGAACAGGGGTGGTGGCTCAGATGGTGGGATGACATCTTGGTCCTCAGACTGGTTGTATCCCTAGTTAAGTCTAAGGATTCAGGAGAGGCTCTGTCTTTTCCCGAGAAGGAGCCAGAGGGAGCACCTAGCGGACTCTGAAATGGGTAGGCCATCAAGGGCAGAGGGAAAGGGTGGCGGAAGGTGGAGGTGGTGAATCCTGCTGTGGCAGACAGAGGCGATTGGTGCAGGGGCTGGTGGTGGCCACCAGCGGCCGGGCCGGAGGCAGATTGCTCAGATGAGTTTTTTCGGACCACCAGGGGCAGGGCCTCTGTCTGGTCTGTGGAACCCGGCATCTGCACGTTGCCAAAGGTGTCCAGGGGGTTCGGAATGATGACGTCGCCAAAGCACTGCAGGCGCTGGTTGGCGGTGTGGAAATTGTGGTTCTCCCCATTGACTGCGAATCTGGCCTGGGGGATCTGGAGAGGTGGGAAGACCTGAGGAACCTGGCGGGAGGGTTTGGCAGAGAAGACTTTGACCACTGTGTCCACTACTTGGGACATGGCCGTGTTCAGCTCCTGTTTCAAGGTCTCAGCCAGATGCTTGCCTTCTGGCTGCAGGGAGTTTGGCCCGTGGTCTCTTTCTTTGTTGTTACCCTCTCTCTTCGGCTTGTTCTCAGCCATCTCCTGCTCTCTGATCAGAGCTCGGGCCCTGTCGATGAACTGTCCTGGATCCAGCTCACACATCTCGTTGTCCGAGCGCCCCACCGAGTCCTGGGCCCGCACATCCAAGATCTCCGAGCGCATGCTGTCTTCGGACAGGTTGCCATCTTCATCATTCTCAGAGTCGGTGCTGTCGTAGATCTGGTAGAACTTTTCCTGCAGCTGGCGCAGCTGTTTCTGCATGTCTTCCAGCTGCTGCTTCAGCTGTCGGCGCTCCTCTCGCTTCTGTTCTTTTCGGGCTGAAACCAGCTGCTGGAAGGTCTGCTGCTGCTGCTGGGGAAGCTTCTGCTTGCGTTTGTTTTCTCGGTAACTTTCTCGGGGACTCACAGACTGCGGGGCCATCTCTCTTTCATTTTCAGTGCCCCTTAACGCCACGCTGGGGGAATGGCTCATACCCCGAATGATGTTCTCCACCCGGGCGCGCTTTGCTCTCAGGTGCTCATCACACAAGCGATCCATATCAAACTGGCTCATAGTAGGCCTGCCAAAAGGGGAAAGACACTCTGGGGGGCTGTCTCTTGAAGAGTTGCTGCATATATCCTCCTGATGTGCTTCGGAGCCTGTGCTGGAGAGACCGCTGGCTTGGAAACTGGGCTCGGTGCCACCATTTTTGTTCATGTTATTTTTCAACAGCTGGGAAATGATCGTTGCTCCTGGAAAAGGCATCATAGCATCTTCATACGAGTTCGCCCTCTTCAGCAGCTTGCGGAGTACATTTGACTTTTCCCCATCTGCGTGTTGCACCACAGAATATTCAACATCCTGCTCAGAACCTTGGGGATTCATGGCACTAAAAAATGTTGCTCTTGCCTTAGCAAAAAATGCAGACGCTGTCCCTACTGTCCTTTTCACTCCAATGTCAACTCTTCTCCTCTTGGTCTGCCGGCTTAAGAGGGCTGTGCTGTCATGGTCAGGCATCACTGGACGGTTATTGTGCCATCTTCAAAAGCTCGTCAGCTGGGCACAGCTCAAGAATCCCGGGACCCTGGCCAACAGAACAAAAGGACTGATGAATCATTTTCTTTAAATTTCTCCAAATTTCCTGACCTCAATCCTGAATCAAATGCAAAATGCATAGGCTCTGGGATTTATGGCACATCACAATTATTGAAATTTATTACGCACTCTGCTTGAAATGAAACATTTTTAAATATTTCTGCTCCACTGGTTTAAGATGGATTAAGATTAAAAAAAAAAAAAAGCAAAAACTGCTTAAGCAGTAGTAATATGATTCTCTTTCACAAATGTCCAAAATGATACTGTTTATCTTCAGAAGAAACTACAGATTATAAGAACACAGCCTCTGACAAGCAATTGATTAAATTTGGGGTACTGAGATTCTTATAAAAGGAGAGGGGACTACACTTAAGAAACAAGGTTATATTTTGAGGCTGCAGGAAATTTGGATGAAAAACCTGATCTTTGCCTTGAAATGACTGTGGTATCAATGCTATGGCTGGAAGACTAAAATAGATGTAGATTTTAGCACACAACTTTATTACTGAATTTTAAAATAATGTCATCATATGTGAAATGGGAAGACTACCCCCAACCAGCATCTTTCAAACATAAATGGTCCATTTAACACTGAGACAAATGCGCAAATATTCATTTTCCAATTCTGCTTGTTTAGCACAGTTATGGGTGTTGATTGGTGAATTCAGATGGGAAGATGGATGTATCTGTTGCTATATCTAAATGTAACTGAGAATGTTTATAAATTGTCACAACGTCCTTTTGATGGCTTTAATTGTTAGAAAGTGACGCTAGCTGTTGCCACACTTTAGGAACCAGGATGTGGAACAGTGTGTTATTGGACTACTCAAAGAGACGTACATCTTCAGACTAGTTTTGTTCTGCTGAAATCTGCCAAAACAGTGCTTCAAATGATAGAACTCTTCAACACACCATTTCTGCATCTCCTTTCCTATGCCAAGTGAAAGGTGGCCAGGGGAGGGGAAAGAGCAAAACAGAAGAAGCAACTGAAAGATTAAAAAAATAAATTAATCAAATACGCAAGAACAGGAAATACCTTCTTTGTAGAAGAACTTGCATTGTTCTTGGGGACACAGTATAAAAAGGAAACATCCTTGCTCCCATTGTATCAAAGCACTTGACACATTTGTGTCACTTATTAACTACCAAATGTTAACTCCAAATTTTGTATGCATGTAAGAGACAGCACATCTTTTTGTTTACAATTAACGTTTTATGAAGAAAATGAAAATACTGCCTTCATGCCGGGCTTATCTGATATTGAACTTCGCGTTTGCTTAACAGAGCACATCTTCACAATAACAGGGTCTGTTGCCAAAGGCAGCGTGCGGAGTGCTTGGAACCGCTCCCATCTCTTTCGGTTCACCTGTAAAAACATCTACGTGCTCCCCAGGACTGCATCTGTGGCTAGTTTTAAAGAATGGCTACCCATGCAAATAGGCATAATTTCAGCATGAAATACCCTGTGAAAATCAAGAAAATGCCCCATGCTTACATGGCAACAATATGTTTTTTTTTTTAAAACAGGACAAAGATTTCATCATGCTGTGTTTGCTCTCTCTGAAGACACAATATTTTAAAAGAGCCTGTATTAGAGTGTCATGAAGGCAACATGATTCTTCTTTCTAGAGATTTTCCTGTTTGAGGATGAAACGCTTCAGGGTAAAATATCCTGAACTTGGGATGGAGACAGAGATCTCAGTAACCTTAATATTGGGTTCAAGATTAAGGCCAGAGCCACTGAGACTCCTTGCACACTAATAACAATTGGTTAGAGAAAGATGAAGATACTACAACAGATGTTTCACTGACAAGGCACTGGGTCTGGTATATCAGTCAAATGTAGCTGTCAGGTCACAGAAAGAGCACAAAAGGTAAGAGTTATTTCTGAGTTATGGACTCTTGGATATGGGAGGGTTACAAGGAAGATTCTTTTGTATGTCTGTTGACTTTCCAAAAATAGAACTTGTCATTCTTTAACGTTTTCACCTCCTGTGTATTAGCAAATCTTTTCCTTTTTAATATCACCTGCAAAGCACAAGGCCCTTTGGCAGGAAGTTCCTGCTGCAACCCCCCCCCCCCCGCCTCCCGACACACACATACCTTGCCACCCAAACCAACCGGCCTTTCCTCCTCTCATCTTGGATGGGAAGAACACCTCTGGAGCAGAGGCTCCCAGAGGACATACCAGTGTGTTGATGAGCACAAGGTCATCCCAGCAGCCCTCCTCTCCCAGCTGCCATTCACCTCTGTGTCAGTCAACTGCATTTCCTCTCTAGCCTAGGTATCAACAGCTGCATCCCTGCCTCAAGCCAGAGCCAAGAGGAGGCCGAGTTCTTCCAAAGGAGGAAAGACATTGCTCTTTTATCTTTAGTGGAAAATAAATACTAATTAAACAGAGAACCTGTAACTCCCTCCAAATTCACCAAATAAAAATGAAACTCACCCCCCCCCCAAATTCTCAATCGGGTAACATTTTAAAATTAAATAATGATTTATTTCTCTTTTGGGCAAAGAGAATACAAATACGTTTTTAGGCCCCATGGTAAAATGTCCTGCTGAGATATGATCAAAAGGAAAAAAAATGGGGAAAAATATATTATCTAGCAAGACAAGGTATCATCTTAAGAGGCACAAAGTAATATACTTCTCCATATTCCTTACTATTTAAACTTGGAAATAAAAGGAGAATGGCCATAACCTAGAGGAATTACAGGCAACATTAAATATCAATAGCTGGCTGACCTGATGCTTTTCTAGCATCGTGTTGCATAAACAAGATGCATAAAAATGTATTTGCCACGTAAAAACGCACCACCGAATGAGCAGCATGGTAGAAAGGCACTTGAGAACATTTCCCATGTGGTCCCATAATCTCCCAATTCATAGTTTAAAGGGTGCTGTAGTCAGTCACCTGCTGTGTCCGGCCCAGTGAGATGCTTGACAGCTCCTACATTCTCACAGGTGCACCGAGCCATAAACTTCCTACTATAATTACTATAGGTTTTACAATATTTTTACTTTAACATTAATTTCAAGTTTAAACAGGCAATATAAAGCCTTTTGGCAAAAAAACCGAAGACTGAAAATTGGTGATAACAGACTCTGAACCCAAATGATTACTGCTGAAATGCACCCATTCTATAAATCCCTCTCAAATGAATGTGAACATCTATGTAGAAATGTCTAATAATTAAACATGTGTTGCATTAATTGGCATGTAGTGTATATATATGCTTCCATAACAACTGTACAATAGATAGCTCAGCACAGCAGATTCCTCCCAGAAAAATGTACTATGAAAGCAAACTTCAAAACATGATCAAGTCAGATTTAACTGCTCCAAATATTCTTCCTTGAAACCTGAAACTTCTACCTTCTGTTTCACAAGGAGGATCCACACCATCAATGGTGCTGGCTTCATGTAGTGGAAAAGAATTTTCAGTAAAGAATTTAAAAGGAACACAGCAACATGAACAGAGGTGGTTCAGAGCTCCACTTTAATAAAGAAGTTATTTGGGGAAGGAGATGCAACTTTTACTACATCTATCTGGAGCCCAGATTCTGGACAAAGAAGTGTTTCATTATGGTAATTATCCAGATAGTTCAGATGGATCTTTTATGAGGCAGGGGGAGTGCAAAGCTGGCGTGGCCTCCTGCTTGGGTTACTTAGATGTCCGTCTAGATAGCTGAAGAAATGCCTTAGATTGTCTTTCTTTTAGAAAGTCATCTTTAAAGGAACTTCTAATGAGTTAAGCTGGTTATACAGTGTCAAGTGGAATATCATGTAACAAGATTTTAAATCAATCTGAGAATCAATCTGAATTCAACAGGGAAAAACCAGATGATCTGATTTCCTCCCCCACCCCCACCACTGAACTGACCCCTTCACTGCATTTGGGAGCTGGTTTCTGTTCATTTCTGCTACATGGCAACTTTTCCTTCAGAGACATGTCTGCATACCATCAGGTTAAGAAACACTTTGATGTGTATTTTGAAGATTCTGGTTGGTGAGAGTGAACACTTTAAGCAGGTGAGATGGTACTGACAATTAAAAAAATTCCTATCACGATAGGCCTTTTCAAATCATAGCCATTTCATTTACAATTCTTCCACCCCATCTAAAAGTCCATTCATTTCTTTTCAATTGAAAAATGAACAAGGAACATTTTCTGACACCTGCCCAAGATATTGATTTCCACTCATTTACAAAGCAGTAATTCATCAAATTGGGTAAATAAAAGAACGTGAGAAATATTAAGAAAATGTACTTGCACATTTTTCTTTTTGAAGAAAAAAAGTAAAATACTCTAAATATTTCTTGAGGCTTTGGGGTACACTGTACAATTGGAGAGAGTTCTTCTATATGACCCTTCCAATTTTATACAAATACATAACTAGAACCCTATAACAGTGCATCATCATGCATAATCCATTTTCATCCTATAACAACAACATTTCATAATTTATTTTTAAATCCTAAACAGAAATTCTTATATTGATATCATAAAATCGAGACAATACTTGAAATGGTATAGGGAGTTTGTGGAAAAGGTCTTTTATGAGTTTTGAGCAAATAGAGAGGGAGTTCGGCAACTTACACAGCAAGCTAGCTCAGGTTTGAAGGTTGAAGAACTGCTTAGAGAAGACCCAAGCAGATGAACATGGAGAACAAAGATGCGTGTTGCCTATGCATGACTTTTCCCAAGGTGGTGATTAAACTGAGCAGAATTCTGCATAACAGACACATGAAAGATCAGTAAGTAGCAAGCACAGATAACCCCTATTAAAAATAAAGCAAAGGAACATGGCCATAGATGACATTTGAATTACCAAAGATCTTCAAAGGCGTACAAAGTGCTGAAGGGTGGGGTGAGCGCTGAGGTTTAAGTTTCAAGAATAAGTGACAAATACATTCCATTTTCATGGAAACAGTGATAATCACCCCAAAGACAAAATCAATCAAGGAAACAGTTTATCATAAACCTA